GAGAAACCGTAGCTGTATCATCAACCTGCAGCAAGAAAGAGACAAGCACAAAGCATGTTTGTTACTGGGACCCCCAAGGGGTTGAGTTTTCCTTCTTGTACTTTTCCTAATTTTAAAGAAAATTTAACAAGGAAATGAAATACTTGAAATGCTGGGAGGAAGTGAAGGATCACATGCAATCCCGCCTCTGAGCACAAATTTTATAAATAGACACTCTGGCAAACATCAAAGAAATTGCTGCAGAGAGAAACTAACTGATCATGTATATTTTACATTGCCCGTTTATTCTGAACAGAGTTAGCCCCATACTGCCAGTTAACTCTGAAAGAGCAAGTAAAACACTGCCCACTTGGGACATTAGAAAATTCTCTTCTCCTTTTCCCCCCAGACCATATGTATTCTTCCTCCAATCCATTAATTGAACATAGACACACTTTACATAACCTGTATACATAATCTGAAAAACATGGGCAAAATGAATTGACCTAAGCTAATGAAATATTCCTAGAGGCATCTAGAGGCAAGGAAACCAAGGGCACTAATGGGACAAAATAAAGTAGCTGAATGTAAGAAAAGCCTTGGTGGATCAAGCCAAAAGCCACTGTAGCCCAGTATCTTGTTCTCACGATTGCTTTTGTTGAACTCATTCCCAACTTTATGAAACCTTTTTCTTCTGAAAGAATGCAGTGAAGTTTCAATGCTCCCTCAGCAAGAGAAATGTGTGTCCCATTCTCCATTTAGTTAATCATGTTCTCTGGAACCAACATGGCAGTCACATTCTAAACCAGGGATGCCCAACTTCTGCATTCTTGAGGGCCACGCCTATTCCAGACGAAAAGGAACCAAAAGAGTATTTTGTCATCCAACCACGTGTTGTTTGGCTCTATAGCAGGCGTGGGGAAAATTTGGGCATCCAGAATTCTAACTCCCCTCAACCGCAGTGAGTCAGGGATGGTGGGAGTTGTATCTCATTGATAACTGGAGAGCCAAAGGTTCCCCTCACCTGCTCTGTAAGAAAGCTCGCACCACCCGCACACCCCCTAAACACATTATTTCTCTACCGTTTGGAATGGTGACTGAAAGGAAGATGGATTTCAGACCAAGATGGAGAACTGAGGCAGTGAAGAAAGGCCAAAAGTCAGAAGAAATGCTAAGAGTGTAATTAAGTCTTAAAATTGGAGGCAGGGGGATTCTCATAAATCCTCAGAACCATGCTGGCCAGTTGGTTCCCTTCTACCCCAAAAGGATGCTAAGGAAGCAGTCGCTGTTTCAGTCAAGAGATTTCTGAAGTGAAAATTGCATAGGTATTTCCTTAGCCATAAAAAAAATGGAAAGGAAAGGAAACAGGGGAAAGATCTGCCTCTAAATAGTAGATGTCTGTTTCTTATTATCAAAGATGCAAAAACCAGGAGCTAATTTCATTGAGACTAAAACAATTTATCCCTCTGGCTAATCTCTTGCTGGAAGGAAACCGTCTCAGGTGGGTAATGTTACTCAAATGAGTAACATTTCATGCCTTGACCATCATTTGACAAAGAGGAAAACAGTAAGCATCTAATTAGTACCATAGAAATCTGGCTCACATATGTGTAAGCTCTGAACTCTTTAAAGAAACCATACTGGTTTTGAATCCTTGAAAATAAAATATACGAGACTGAAAGAGGCTCAACTCCTTCTCACTTTTTTATTTTTCTTGAGGGAAATAATCTCCTTTTTCACATTTGTAATGAAAGGGGCAGAGTTTAATGACAGGGAAGAATTTTGTATAGGTCCACATTTTTCAATGACCTAACAAATGATCATTCCGTGCATAAGTAGAGAACTAGCATGTGTGGCTTTGCTTTGTTTCATCTTCATCAGAGATCTCTTCTTGTGTTCCCATGTATAATATGTATTTTATCTCTCCCCATGATACTAAGGGAGGAAATTAGACCGTGTCAACATAGGGAGAAGAAAGATGGACAGGTAAGCATTGCCATGTCTCTCTGTCGTTGGTACCTACCCTGGAAAAGTCGAAGAAATAAGCAAAGCAACATAGAAGGCAGCTTTGGCAACTCCACCCAAGCAATCTGGGCAGCTGCCCAGGGCCCTGGCACTGCGAAGGGGCCCACAGGCATCTTTCTGCATGGGCCCTGACACAGCTCCTTCTGTCAGAATGAATGTGAACGACACAGCAGCTCACAAAGCCAAATGCAAGAACAAAAGTAAATTATCAGCGTGCCCTGAATCTCTGATGCCGTTCCAAATCTTGGACCCCACTGGCAACAGAGGCTGAAATTTTGAAGGTCTTTTCCTCAAGGCCCATGGATTCCTGGAGCTGGGCCTTATAGGAGGGCGGGCAGAGAGGGTAAGGAAATCCAATATGGAATCAATGGAACAGTTACTGCTTCTTCCATCTATGCTAGGACTAAGAGTAACAGATGGACCACACGCTGCATCCAAGACGTCAAGGCCTTTCCTACAGCCACCACAGGGCAACTCACCATGAGCCAGTCATTGTGGATGGAGACTGCAGACCATGAGTTGGCCCAGTCTTGCTTTAAGGGGCCTGGATGCCTAAGGAATGGATTGCTGAACCACCTGTTCAGTGGAATGGTGAGCCAGTCAATTGCCATTCCAGCATCAAAAAATGGCAGGGTAACATGAGAAATGATCATACTGCGTCTCATACACTCCATTTAATGCAGGAATGGGAAAGCTGTCTCCAGATGTTTTGTTGGATGACTACAACTCCCATCATCCCTGACTATTGTCTGTGCTGGCCGGGGTCAATGGAAGTTGGAGTCCAACAAGATCTGCCTGAAATGCTCCTTTGGATGTTACTTATAGTGGCACAGGAATAGTATCAACATAACTCTTTCCAGCTTATTGTAACAGTGGTGGAAGTGCATGTTGGGGGGGGTACTTCACTTTCTACATCAGCCTAGACACTTTTGATTACAGTGGTAACTCCGGCTACAGACTTAATTCATTCCGGAGGTCCATTTGTAACCCAAAACCATTCTTAACATGAGGCACGCTTTCGCTAATGGTGCCTCCTGCTGCTGCCTCACCGCCGGCGCACGACTTCCGCTCACATCCCAGGGCAAAGTTCACAAAAAGCAGCATCTACTTATAATCCGAAGCATTTGTAAGGAGGGCAGTACGTAACACGAGGTTCCACTGTATTCTTGTCATGGATGTCTGGTGTTTTTTGAGCAGTGCGAGAAGTAGTCACATGACAGGCACTCCCATGCCTCTAAAAAAAAATGGACCATAGAGTTGGAAGGAACCGTGGGGGCCATCTAGTCCATACCCCTGCAATGCAGGAATCCTTTTTGCCCAGTGTGGGGCTCAAACACACGACCCTGAGATTCAAGTCCTTTCAAGTAGAAGAAGTAGGAATTGGACCTGGAACCTCATACAAGCAAAGCATGTGCTCTACAACTGCAGTTACCAGTTATAAGGAAGACCATAAAAAGATCCTGGTGGACCAGGCCAATGGTCCATCTAACCGAGCATCCTGTTGTTGCTGTGGCCAGCCGAATGCCTCTGCGAAACCTGCAAGCAAGACCCGAGCACAAGAGCACTCTCCCCTTCCGAAGTTTTCAGCAACTGGTGTTCAAAAGCATCACTGCCCGTGGAGATGGAGCACATGGCACATTGATGCACCACCCAGATCTAGTTTCATTTGGCTTCTTGCTGCCTTCCAGAAGGCAACCAGGTTGTTGTTGTTGTATTTATTTGAGCTTGTGACTTTCTTATTCTTTATGAGCCACCTTGTGCTGAACATCACCAGCATGTTTTAAATATTGTAGAGGACAGGGCCAGATTAAGACCTTTACAGGCCTTAAGCACTTAAAAGATTTTGGTGCCCCCATATATATATATCTAATTCAGCCAACATGATTAAGATAAAAATGGTCAGCATGGCGTGGGGGAAAGGGGTGTTGTTACATCTCCTGTGGGTGGGAACCATGAAAGCGTCTTAAAGATTATTTGGAACTTGTATTCCTGCTATAAAGCACTGAGGAGTTCCTACAGAATGTTTCAGCAGACATTTGCCACTTTCCAGTATTTTTCTTCTGGACTAGGAGGATGAGGAAAAGAAGGTTACTAAAGTCCCTCAGTAAAGGTGACAAAGAGAGAAAGAGAGGAAGAGAGAGGAAGAGAGAGGGAAAAGGCAAATAAATACCATCAGAAGCTGTAGATTACATCCGCTTAAATAAAATAGATAATGTGTGCCCTGAGAGCTGACCTTTACCATACAAAGGAAGGTTATATTTCAGAGCTTATTTCCTTGCTGTGCTTATTTGTATTGAAAGTAATGTCGTTAATGCACAATGAAGGGGGGGGAGGGAGAGACTTGACTACCCTCAGTATTTACTGCATTTCTGTTCTCAGAAAATGCTCCGAAATGCCACCGTGATAGCGAAGGTGGCTTAGGTGACTGTTCCCCCTGGAAAGGGGGAGAATTTTCCAGGTGCAAACATGCATTTTCTCCCCTGAAAAGTTGCTGGTGTTTCAGACTACCTTTTATTCTGTATCACCTTGCCTTTTGCACTGCGTTTTCAGCACAAACGCCCCTGCTCCCAGTTTGGACTGACAGCAAAAAGTTGTTCCTCCAGTGCTCTCCTAGACCAGACTTATTTATTCTCATTAATTATTATTTCAATTTGTGTGCCACTTTTCCAACCCGCACCCCACTGAAAGAAGCAGCTCACAACACAACCGTAATAAATGGATAATTACAATAGCAGTCTAATGCTAATTCCTAATATGACGATCCAGATAAAGAACTCATTTTGATAATATGGACATAAAAGCGTTCTAAAAGAATATTAAATTGTTCAGGTCCACGACTGCACCATAAAGAGACTGGTTGAGAATAGACCATCAATCATTAAAACACATCAATTGATATCAGTTCATTAAAATATATAAACCAGAATCAGATATGATAAACATTTCCAGAGGAGTCAGATTTTATAACCAGCAACCAGCTGGTTATGGCAATAATATAACTTGGCTCAGTTGGTAGAGCATGAGATTCTTAATCTCAGGGTCCGAGACTCACATTGGGCAAAAGATTCTTGAGTTGCAGGGGCTTGGACATCATGGTCCTTTCTAACTCTATGATTCTATTCCCGAAGAATATTTAGCATTTGCATAGCACCTATCCTGAACTTTAAATGTGCTTCCCTATCAGCAATCTGTACAACTGTGTAAGGTAGACCAGTTTATCTTCCCCATCTTCTAGGTGAGAGAGTAGAGGCAGAGACAAAAATAATTGTGGCTTGCCTATGTTGTGATTCCTTCCAGGGCCGTCTTTACCCAGGGTGCAAGGGGTGCGGGGCACCCGGGCGCCTCCTAAGTTCTTAACTATCTACCTGTTATGAAATAATAAATAATTTTGATCAAGCTAGAAGAACAAAATGCATATATACAGTGGTACCTCAGGTTACATATGCTTCAGGTTACATACGCTTCAGGTTACAGACTCCACTAACCCAGAAATAGTACCTCGGCTTAAGAACTTTGCTTCAGCATGAGAACAGAAATCGTGCTCCGGTGGCGCGGCGGCAGCAGGAGGCCCCATTAGCTAAAGTGGTGCTTCAGGTTAAGAACAGTTTCAGGTTAAGAATGGACCTCTAGAACGAATTAAGTATTTAACCTGAGGTACCACTGTACCTAGGTATTACCAAAATGTATACCTACTGTTTCACTAAAGGACTTTCGACTTTGTGCGCTCATTTACCAAAGATGCGCCGTGCCAGCGGTGGTGCTTCTCATTCACAATGGCGGCACTTGTCAGACTCAACAACGGCACTTGTCATTCACAACAGCGCCATGCACCCGAAATTGGGGGCGCATCTTTGCACCCCAGTGGCGCATATGCTAAAGACAGTGCTGATTCCTTCACTCTCTTAGCTACTTTTATACAGGGCAAAGTATCCTCTGGCACACCCTATCCTAAATGGGTCGGCCCCTGCATATGGATTTCTCTGGCAGGCAGGTATGAGCTGCCCTGTTAAGTGCCCGCCCCGGTACCCCACCCCTCTGGGAACTGCAGGATATATAAAATGGCAGCTGGCAGACCAAGCCCAATGGGTAGGGGAGGGATTGCATACACCCCCAAATTGGAAAGCACCCCAATGAAAACACCTCTGTCCCCATGCTCCCCACAACCAGATATTTTGTTTTGAAATCCTCACCCAGTGAATAGCCTTGCTAAATGGAAGACGCTGGGCATTCAGTGGGGAGAGGAAATCCAAGTTGCTCACTTCAGAGGCTGGGTCCCTTTCCTGCTCATTAAGTGGCTGGAGCAAGGAATGCGCAGCTCTTTCACCAAGTCCTCCGCTGTGGTGCCCTCTGGACACTGCGTATTACCAGGTCTCCTCTGGTGGTTTCAGCACTGTGTATTATTTGAGGGTAAGCTAATCCCACAGCAATTCATCTCCGTCCAGGTATGCGCATACCTCTTTCCCACATAAAGGCATCTGAGCAGCTCTTTGAAGTCATTACTGACCCTCAGGGGGCAGAGGAAGGCCCTGCTGCGCTGTTTGTGCTTTTTCATAATGTATTAAATGTTCCCGATCATTTCCTTTGTGCGGACAAAGACATAATGAAGCTCGAGGCTGGGTTCGTCTGCGGAATTCTGCCTTCTGCCTTTACAAGTGAAGAAGCACAGCTGGCAGAAGGAGAGAGAGGGGTCCAGAAAGGAAGGATGCTAGGCGATAGGATGGGCTAGGAGCTGAAGAAAGGGGGCAACTGGACTCATTATCGGTGCCCCCCTTCTCCACGAGATAGCCTGTGACATGTTACAAAAGCATCCAAGCCAGCGACAGTGGTTGTCAGATTGTTTTAGAGATCAGGAGTGGCATCTGAAATTGGCCTGCATTGCAGGGGAACAAAATGTGACATCAAACTAAGCCTGTGTACGCAGCCCTGCTTGACTGCATAGGGGTCTTGTGTTGGGGAGAGGAGAAACGTGAGCTGTCTTTATAGATTGGAAGTACTTTCCCTGCACCACTTCCAGGTTCCTTGTCACTCATAATATCCGATGAAATGCTTCATGAACCAATCATGCAGCTGCCCTGAAAATCTTCCAGAGGAGCTGTCAAACACCCTATTAACACACTTACTGACACTGGCCACAGATGACTGTCTTTCTAACATGCCAGACTCAAAGTATAAATAGTTTTGTTGTAGGATTTACTCAGCACAATTGAATATTAAAGCCCTAAATAAATAATGCCACATTTTTACTTTAAAACATTAAAAATGAAAATCTGTATGGGCTCAGCTTGGGAGAATTCTTTCATTTAGCCAGAAGATTTAGACATGTCTTGATTGTTCACATCTAGTTGTGGGGAGCATAATGGATGTTGCACACCCACATAATATAAACTCCGGTTTTTAGATGACTCCAGCACAAACTTTTTTCGCATAGCCAAACTACTAATAGTCACTTCTCCTGAAGCAGCCACACTGATCTTTAATATTCCATGACCAATCCTTCTCCCCCAGAAGTCGTGATATTTATGAACATCCCATGACACCACAGCACCTCAGCCTGTCATTGTTAGTCATTCTGCCATTCTTTAGAAGGAAGTTTAAGTTGTAAACACACAGGGGCACTGCTGTTTGACGGGCACCATTTCAGTATAGGACTCCTTTCATTTTAGAGGGAATTAGGAGAATTTTCACACCAAAGCCAATAGGAATGGCTGTGCAATAACAATTGAGGGGGAAAAGAATATTGAGTTAAAATTTTAATTATGCTGCAATCCTATACTTTCTTGGGGGGAAATTCTGTTGAAATCAGTGTTACACATTTCAGGATGAAGGAATGTGGTTAATAACATAGTGTTGATATGAAATATAGAAATGTTTTGATTGGTAAAAGTGTAATATGGGAGACAGAGCTCCCCCCATCCCACTAATCAGAATTTAGTTCTCACATCCTTTCTTTTTTAATAATTTTTATTAATTTTGGAAATGTATAATTGAAATTAATTATGATTTGGTATGATTTGATATTGTAATAATGTGGCCCATATTGCAGTGTTATTAATGAAAAATAAAAATTCTCACATTCTGTGCCTTTCCCACAAATGTATTTCTAGGAGCCCTCATTGTTTTGAAGGGAGGCTTTTCAATCGCCATCCCCTCCATTTTGTAGCTACATTTAAAGTTAATAGTAGCCTTCAGTCCAACAGAACCAGGGCACACAATAATGGTTCAATGCAAGTAAAAATTCGAAGCAAATGTGGGGCTTCCTTGCTAGGTGAAATACCTGGAGATCACGAGGAGAACAAAGAGATTTTCAGTTGTCAGCATTTTCCAGTGAGGTTAAAAAATGTGAGAAGATGGTTGCCTAAGGTTTCGTGTTAAAGCAGGGCTGAGGAGAAGCTGTGGAACTCCAAATTGTTAAGTTGTGGGTGAACATATCAGACGACACAGCGATTCTTCAAACAGCTCTTGTTTATTCAAAGGCCAGAACAGAACTGAAATGAAGAGCTCAGTCAGCCTGCTTATATAGAGCTCCAGAACAATGTAACTGTAGCAACTTTCTAAAACTATCCAATCACTGAACGTCACTTTCGATCCTTCATTTGCATAACTATCTACAGTATCCCCCTGCTGGCCCAGGGTGATAACTTCAGTACATAACACAAATGTTGTTAGACACCAACTCCCATCAGCCCCAGTCAGCATGGCCAGTGGCCAGGGATGATGGGAGTTGTAGTGGAGGACCACAGTGTTCCCACCCTAACTAGAATTTTGAGGTTCTTCTTCAAGTGAGTCATCTGAGAAAGCAGAATAATTTTTAACTCTCTATTAATATTAGGCAGCAGACACCTTCATTGCACTGTTTCTGGCACCCGTTGAAAGCTTTTTTTGTTTTGTTTAGACAACCCTGCCCAGCTGTATGTGTGTATATAGTTTACTATTTTCAATGTCTGTTTTTAATGAATATTTTATATTAGCTTATGTAAGATAAAGGTAAAGGTACCCCTGCCCGTACGGGCCAGTCGTGTCCGACTCTAGGGTTGTGCGCCCATCGCACTTAAGAGGCCGGGGGCCAGCGCTGTCCTGAGACATGTGGCCAGCGTGACGAAGCTGCTCTGGCGAGCCAGCACCAGCGCAGCACACGGAAACACTGTTTACCTTCCCGCTATAAAGTGGTACCTATTTATCTACTTGCACTTAAGTGTGCTTTCGAACTGCTAGGTGGGCAGGAGCTGGGACCAAAAGACGGGAGCTCACCCTGCCGCGGGGATTCGAACCGCCGACCATGCGATCGGCAAGCCCTAGGCACTGAGGTTTTACCCACAGCGCCACCCGCGTCCCAGACGAGCTTATGTAAACAAGCTTCCTTTTTTATTAACTGCAATAAAAATCCTGCAAAATAAATAAAATATAAGTGCCTCCCCTTATTCACCACCAAAGAAGTGTTGGATTTGGGGAAGGGCATTGCCAGCTCAACATTAAATAAAACTGCAGAACTTTCTCATCCCAAAATAAACAGACAAACTGTTGGTCTTTCATATTTTTTTCCTGAGTAAGAGTCTTCAGGCTTACAGGGGCTGCATGCACAGCCACCCATTTAAAACACATTTTGCCCCCAAATAATTTACAGAGCTAAAATCCTGTGATTCTCTAAGAGCTGGATGAGAAGTCCATGTGCCTTAACTGTATTGTGTGTACGCAGCCTGGGACTGAAATGAATCCATGGAGGCAGTTGCAGAGAAAATTGTGAACTCTAGCCAAGTGACTCCAGAATTATATTTCTTCCCCTCAACTCTCCTGTTGTTTATTTTACTAGGGGGCAAATGAAGTACACAAGTTCTTAAGCCCCGAGAAGGCATTCATTTCACATCCCCCCCCTCCTCAAGATCCAATTTATTCTATTACTAAATAGTGCCAAAGGTAATGTATTTAAAAGAGATGTTGAAGTGATCAGGTTAAAATTTATGTTCACTAAAGGAAAGAGGTGGCTTAATTGAATTGGCGCACTTAACTCATTAACCCTTTGCCTCTAGGACTAATAAGGATGAACTCCTCGTTGCTAATAATCACAA